AGGTGCCCTGGAAGGCAGCAGCTGCCCCTTCCGAACAGCCATGGCTGTGTTGACTCCCAGCCTCCAGCTCATCCTTGCTAGCTGTGTGGCCCTGGCTGCTGGACTCGTAGCCTGGTACTACCTGTGAAGGGCCCACTTTCCAGTGACCACCAACCCCACCCCTTACCCGATTGAACTACCACCTCAGGTGACACTTTTTTAATACCTGGTTTGAGAAAACCAACAATAAAGCCAGACGCTTAAGCCTGTGCCTGCAGCGTCCTCTCTGCCGTCTAGTGTGGAGTTGGCTCGGTCCCTCTCCCTGGGCTCCCAGGATGGGCCGTGGGCCCCCATACCTCCAACCCTGGGTCTGACCCTCTGGGGACTTGTGGGGACTCAGCATGTAGGAGACATCTGTCCTCTTGTAGGAATGCTGGGGGCCCACAGGGCACTGTTGTAGGGCCCCTTGTAGGCCCAGGACCCCCTTTCCTGGATAGCAGCCCTCCGGTAGCCCACCCCAGGAGGTCTGGGCCTGTGTAAATAAATGCTTCAGTACTCAATAAAGTGGATCCCCCACTGTCTGTCATCTTATCTGGCACTTTTTTTTTTTTGCGGGGTGGGGTGGAAGGAGTGTGTCTCATGGAATTGTCACCCTCAGGATGAGCCCACTGCTGCTTTGTCCCCAAGCCCCCTCATTCGTCTGACCAGAGCCGCCCTACAGGCCAAGGAAGACCCAGCAAGGTGATAGGGGACTAGTTTTCTAATCTCAATGCTCTGGAAGGTTTCTATACTTGATTTTTTTTAAAATAAGGATTCTTTAAAACTCTTAACAGTTCACTGATAGTATAAAATAGAGGTATAACTTAAATTTATTAACAGACATCTTTCACCGGTTTCACTTATTGGGCTCTGTAGATGTTTTACTCAGAAAAGATTGCACAGTGGGAAATGTCTCAGGGGAGCCACTAGTCTCTCAGTGACTCAGTGACAGTGCCTGCCCTCAGTGAGGGTGACCCAGCATACTACTCTCTGGGTGTAGGTGTGTATGGGGCAAGGGGGTCACTCTTAAAGCCACTGTTGTTACCTGCCTAAGATTTATTTTATCTGGTACTTTAAACATCTGTTTCACTGGGCGGTGTTGAGACTAGGCAACAAGGATGCCCCACCTGCTGTCGCTGCCCCTAGTCCTGGCCCTGCCCGCAGAATAAGGAGGCAAAAAAGCAGAGGCCCAGTGCAGCTGATGCAGGGCCGGTTTAATGAGAAACCACACATTGAGGCCGGCCACGACTCAGTTGACAGGGCCATGCAACAGCGGGGCTTGAGCAGTTTACAGACCTCAGGAGAACACAAACGGTGGGGGGGGTAAGGGTAATAGATTGCTGCTGTCCACCAGGGTCCTCTGCTCTCCTGCAGTGGGGACACGCCAGCCACCAGGGTCAGTCTGCACTGGAGACCTTGGCGATGGCGCGTGCAAGATGCACAGATTGCTCTGTCTCAGCAAACTTGGGGTCCAGAGCGGCCTGGCCAGGATGGGGTCTGCACACTGACTCCAGGGGGCTGGGGTTGGAGACAAAGGTACAAGCCCCTTGGCTAGCTAGGGCTCCATTCATTCACCAGGGCCTGCAGGGTGCTGTCTTCAACCCTCCTGGGGGACCAAGTTTCATTACCTGAGAGTCTGGGGGCCAGAGCTGCTGCCATTTCTGCTGCTCTTCACACCCAGACACAAACCAGAGGCGCTCCATGCTCGGGCCCACCGATTCCAAGTAGCCCAGCAGGCCAGGGCTGTGCCAGGCTCCAGGTGGTCCCAGGCTGTGTGAGCAGCTGCTGCTCTGGCTGCTGGGTCCTTGGGAGGGTTGGACTGAGCCTACACCTCGGGCATGGAAGGGGAGAAGTGGGGGGAGGGTGCAAGGACCACGGTGGAGAGACTGAGCGGAACAGACCCTTCCCAGACTATCCAGTTGGCCACCAGCCAACCAGGCATGCAGGGCTGTAGCTCTCAGCCTGGCACCCGCCGGCCTGGCCCACAGGCAGCAGTTTTGCCAGCAGTCAGAAGCTGGGGTAGGACAAGGTGAAGAGCACAGACTTCTGGGGAGCGGCACAGTGGCTTCTGGCCCAGCAGGAGGAGAGGCGGCCATGAGCAAAAGGCAAAGGAAGCACGAGCACCAGACAGGCAGGCGGGAGTCGGGCTCAGTTAGCATAGGCGCTTGTACGTGTAGATGTAGGCTTTGCAGTTGGGGCACGTGTGGGTCACGTCCTTAAAGTCGTTGATGAGGCAGGGGATCAAGCAGCAGCCCAGGTCACATCTGCAGCAGACGGGGAGGGGACAGATGGAGCCAGCCAGCCTGGGGACATAGGCCTGTAGCCCTGCCCTGGCAGCCCCTGCACCTACCCCATGAAGCAGCAGAAGAAGCCCAGCACAAAGTTCATCAGGCCGATCTCGTAGGAAATCTTGGTGGTGACAGCCTGCTGGCAATGTGGACACACTGTCTGCACAGGCGCGCCCTCGAAGATCTCACCCTGCAGCACCGTCACTGTGGTGGCGGCCCCTGAAGGGACTAGGACGGTGGCAGCGTGGCCTCCAGGGCCAGGGTAGGGCCCAGGAGGATAGGGCCCAGGAGGGTAGTAGCCCATGGGTGCGTGGGGGCCTGGAGGTGGATAGAAACCTGGAGTGTGAAAGACAGAACAGAGGCAGTGAGGCACTGGGGTGGTCAGGGTGGGCCACTGCTCTACCCACAGCCTGCCACCCATATACCCCAGGTTCCTGGCTTGATCTGTTAGGCTCTGCAACATCATCAGAAGCTCAATTTCAGATGCCAGGTCAGAGCCTAACCAGGCTTCCCAAAGCCTGGAGTCAGGGCCACCTGGGCAGCTGTGCAATCCTAGGTCCTTCCTGCAGGCCCACCTGGAGCTGCTGCACCCACAAAACTCCCCCACCCCCTGGTGTTAAGATGGGCCCTTCCTGACTTACCTGGAGGCACGTAGGCACCATCTGCATTCACATGTGGGGGGACAAAGCCAGGCTGGAGCACTGGGTGGTTGGGTGGTTCGTAGGGTGGGGGCCCAATGTCAGCTGGGGGCAGAGGCATGCCCGGTGGGGGCTGCACCACTGCCGGGGAGGCACGGCCTAGATGGGGGCAGGGATGAGGCTCAGCAGGGGAAGGGGGTACCACCTGAACTATTGGGGGCCCATGAGTAAGGGCTTTGGACTGAGACTCAGAGGTACAGAAGACCCAAAGCACACCCAGGGGTGGGAAGGCGCTCCAGCTTGTATAAGCGGGTGGAACTGGTAAGTGGCAGGGACCCTAAGAAGCCGGACCCCTACCTGGGGTGGAGGGTGTTCCACTTTTCTCCTCTAGAAGGGGGGCTGTCGGGCCCCCAGGATAGGGAGGGGGTGGCTCATTAGACATCTTCACTGCTGCTCTTGGACCTGGAGAGGAAGCCAGCCAAGAAGTCCTGCCCACCCACCTCCCCAAGACCCTGACTCTAGGAGTAGATGGCCCTCAGCCACCACCTTTTACTTCCTTCAAAGCAAATAGTCAACTGGTTCAGAGGATGCCGGGGAAGGTCATAGCTCTCCCTCATCACCCCTCTGCCCCACCTCAAGGTGGCCAGGGAAGGACAGGACAAAAAGCAGGAGGCATGCCCAGGGCAGGGAACAGTGTGGGGAACAAAATCAAAGGCTCTACAGCTAAGTGCAATGTCACCACTAGAGCTCTCCTCCCCCAACCAGTAAGGGGAGTCACAGATTTGCGTGGGGCCGGTGGGGGGGCAGACGGCAGGGTAGATCTAGTGGGAATGGGCTCCCTCCAACCAGGAAATTTCTATAAAATGTTTTACCTCAAGTTCCTGGGACGGAGTCTGAAGTAGAGCAGGTAAGGGCACTTCACCTGGCCTGAACTCAGAAGCTGTGTCGAGAAAGAGCAGGTGGTGACTTCAGCACTTGTACCAGGTACCAGGGGACCAGGATTTGGGTACCTACCCATCCTATCAACTTGCATCATCCCACAACCCTGACCCCTCACAGGCTGTCCTCAGGATCGCCCCTTCCTAAACCCACATCCTCTTTTGGCAATTGCTGGATCATCGGTGTCTGTCCTGTCTCCCCACACAGCAGGCCAAGTTCCAACACGGCGTGCACCCAATGTCTCCAGGGTGCAGCTCCCAGAGGCAGAGGTGGATAGTATCTTGATTATTATTCCTCATTTGTCTATTTACCAAATCGCCAGGCACCCACCCCTATGACCCAGCCTGAGTCTCCCTTCTCAGAAGCTACACAAACATTCAGAGCGTTGTGGAATGAGAGCACTGACTGAAAGTAATCAAATAACATGAACTGGTTAAAATAAAAACCTGCTAATGCAAAGGTCGTTGGTTTTAACCCAGCAGCCACTATGTGAGACTGGATGTGACAGTGGCTTCTGTACAGGTTTGCAGCTTTGAAATCTCAATGGGGTGATACCCTCTTTTACAAGGTCGCTCTGAGTCAAAACTGACTCCGTGGTTTTCTGCGATTTTGGGGGTGGTGAAAAGTCCGACTCAAAGGGAACTAAAGCTGGGACACCAAGAGCACAAGCATCCCAAGAGAAAATAGATTGGTGGACTCCATCAAAAAGTGAAAAGCTGACCCCCCAACTGGGAGAAACATTGTGCAGATCACAGCTGATGGATGACCCACTGTCATCAAGTCAATCCCAACACCCAGGGAGCTACAGAACAGAGCAGCATGGCCCCATGGGGTTTCCCAGCCAGGATCCTCACAGAAGCAGGTGGCCACATCTCGCCTTGTGGTCCCTCCCCTCCCCTTCCACTGGGAGCAGCTGGTGGGTTCCCACAGCCAACCTTTGGGCAAACAGCTGAGCTCTTAACCACCGTGGTTCCTTGCATGTCTGAAGAGACTTGTACTTAAATTACTTTTAAAATTCAAGATGACAGCACAACCCAGTAAAAAAAAAAGGGCAAAGGACTGGAATAGACAGATCTCCAAAGATGTACAAATAAATGGCTGATCAGCACAAGAAAGGGGGCTCACGGCCCCATTATGAGACACAACCTCCCTCACTGATCCATAGCCGTACAGGGGACAACACTGGAGACACAGTGTGGGAATGGCGCCCAACCTGATCCCCCCACACCGAGGCATGCAACAGAACAGAAAGGGGAGCAGAGCAACAAAGTCCCCAGGGAATACCAAAAATAGACTTTGGGGCCAGGGCTTGGCGCACCATCAGACTCTACCGGGAAACACTCGTAAAGGCCAACAAACAGTCCTTGAACTAAGTACAAGCTTTTCTTTCTTGTGTTTTTTGAGTCATTGGCTTGTTGGTGTTGTTTTGTTTTATTTTGTTGCTTAGTTTTGCTCTGTCTTATTTTTGTGCATGTTATCTCCGCAGGACTGTCTAAATAAGATAGGCTGGATGAACAATCTGGAGGAGAAAACAAGGACTGACAGTTCCAGGGGGACATGGGAGATGGGGAGGTGGGGGGAAAGGAAGTGGTGTTAACAAACCCAGGGACAAGGGAACAACA